AGCATTTAGTAGGAGTCTTGCTTTTTTCACTGATATCCTAATTATAAATGAAAACAAACAGTTTTCGGCCTATAATTTAAGTTTCTTTTAACGGGTTCTCTTATTTTTCAACTATTAGATCTTACTAAACGAAAGACTGTTGTTGTTTTTTTCAAGTACCGTATTTTTCAACTATTAATTAGATCTTACTAAATGGAGGATTGTTTTTTTTCAAGTACCATAAAATTTCCCTAGAGACATGCAGCATGTCTCGCTTATTGATTTCAGTCAGCCTTATCAGTCAGCCAACAATATTTTTTTCTCACAACAAACTAGCACTAGCCGGGCTTATTAGCCCAGAAACCAACCAGCAAACAGGCTCATATTCGATTGAATCAGAATTGAGCCAAGCCTAGATATTTCCAACAAAATGCGTATCTACGAATATTATTTGCTAGCAGAACGTCATCACACCGTGATCGAAACCAAGGTACACGCCGCATATCCTTTGTAGAATAAATATGTTGCCGGAACATGCATAGCTAGTCGTGATAGTAGCGAGGGAACAAAGCATTTTACTCGCGGCATATCCCGGCAAAAACATCTGCTTCGGCTCCCATACATCGCATAACATAAGGACACACCCCTCGTTCTCATCGTGCATTTTTGTTAACCCGGATGCAGAATGCAAAATTGCAGATAACGACTTCGCGGATGGCATGCTCTCGCTCGCGTCGCCGAACGAAATCGTGGCCGCGACTCGGGCGCACGAAGCTGGAATCCTGGCTTATCTGAAAGCCTGAAACGTGAGGCCACCGTGCCGTGTCGTGCGTCTCGTTTATTCCATCATTAGGACACTAAAAAATAGCTATGGATGGGTGCAGGGCTGCAGGTGCAGTGCAGTGCAGTACGGTTCTCGTTTACCTTAGCGTGCGTCGGTGATTCGGTTGGTAGGTAGATGGTGAGTGTGCATCGGTTGAAAAAACGAGTGCGAATGCACGGGCACCAAGTGAAACGTCTCCACAGGTCAGACGACTCTTTACAGCTCTGCAAGGACCAACTGAACAACGTGTCACACAGAAGTTGTCTGTGCAGCTCGCGTGGCAATCTCACACCGCTGTCGGTCGCTGTTTGGCTTGAGAAAAACTATAAATTATCTCTTGTAAGTTGTTTTTTGATTGTGTAAAATTATTATCCAAAAAATCTTGAAAATTCAGACACTTCGAATATAGCAACTTCTTTAACTTTATGCTTTACATTTCTCTTTCGGAGTACGTCGGTTTCACAGCTCGATTCGCAGTGCTACGGGCACAACAGCTGCTTGAATGAAAAATTACTAAAATTTGCGTGAGCTAGTTCCAAACCGCTTGTAAAAAAATGTACCCCATTTCCACGCTGTAAATGACAGTGAAAATTTAGGGTCCAATAGAAATATGAGAAGAAAAGTTGAGCTGGGTTTCAAGTTCGTCCGCTGGGGGCTGGCACCAGACTTGGGTCGCTGATGAAATCTTCAGAAGCTTCGAATACTAGTATACTACTCCATTCGTTACTGATGCGGTCTACTCCTAATCAACAGCTGACAGCCTGCGCGAGCCAACGACGGCAACAAGAAAGACGCGAGGCTTTTACTTGTGTACCCTTAAAAAAGATGTCACACTCCTGCGTATCCTTTAAAAGTTGGTCGTCACCTATATGTCCTCGCTTGAACTTTTCTTTTCCCTCACGCCATTCCGTCGGCATTCTGTTAGGTTTTGGCCGTTTGGCGGCTCTGACATGTGGGGCCGGGCTAGAAAAATACCCTCCTTGTCCTCTGGGTCACTGACATATTGGGCCGCATCTCCTTCAGTCTCACCCGAGCCTCTCTCTCAGTCTCTCCCCATTCTCATTCCTCACTCTCTCACCCGAGCGCGGGAGGACGCGGCGGCGAACCCTAGCGGCGACGGATTTGGAGACGGCGGCAGTCGGTGTTGGCGGCCCGCCCTCGAAATCCTAGCCCCGTGGAGCAAGACGGTCGGGCGGAGCAGGCATGCCGTGGAACAGACCCGGCGAGAGGCCGGATTGGTTCCGGGAAGAGTGAGTACCGCTCCTCCTCCCTCCTTGACTTCGCCCCTCCTGGTATTGATGTTGATTGCATTAGTGTATTGCGCTACCGAATCGTGTTTAGGGTTTATTGATTACGTGCTCCTTGTTCATCTGTAGAATGGACCCAAACAGTAGTTACAACCTAGAAATGCGGATTGTTGGTCCCAATTGTCGTGCAAAGTGGTTTTCTGTGAATGAAGTGGTGGATGCAGACAGAACTTTGTTAACTGGGCTTATGGAAGATTTGGTTGACAAGTATCCTCCTAGCTATGGTGATGTAGCCACATTGTTTTACTGGTGCATGCATAGTAAAGTTCACATACCTGTGCGCAATGACCAAGAGATGCTAGCGATGTTTGAAAAAAATAGGGCAACCAGAACATGCTTGTTGACTGTTGCATATCATAGTCTTGGTACTCAGCCTGTGCTTTTTGATTGGGAGTCTGGTAGCCCAAGGAAATCTGTTGAGCCCCCATTCACTCCTTCAGTTGTTTCTCCAAGCATAGCAGAACCAAGCCAGCTATCTATGTCTCAGCCACCCAAAGCAAGCCAACCTGAGTTCCTGGCTAACCCAAATCCAATGAATGAGCATATGGGGATTGATGATGAAGGCTTGTATATTGATCTTGGTCCCAACCACCCTCCACCTCCTCCTACCAGTTCTCAGAGCCAAGGGGGGAGTAAAGAAAGGGAAGAAGAAATAGATGAATCCTCTGATGAGAAAGTTGCTGATAGGGATGATGAAACCAGTGACGAGGAAGATGAGGAAGTAGAAATAGATGAATCCTCTAATGAGGAAGTTGCTGATAGGGAGCCTGAGCAATTTTAATTTCCTGATGTTGAATATGACAAAGATGACCCTCCTATGACAGTGGGAACTATCTACCCAGATATGGCCTCTTTTAAGATTGCTTTAGCTAGTCATGCTGTTAAACATGAGTTCAACTATGAAATTGACAAGAGTGATACAGGGAGGTATACGGTGCACTGTTCTCCGAGGAATGAGGGATGTCCGTGGAGACTGTATGCCTCAACTTCAGCTGATGGACATGGCATTTAGGTGATGTGTTAGTTCAATTTATGGTATTGACCGCTACCTGTTTTCCTTGCATGTACCTAGCTGCTAACATGTGTTTCTTTTCAACTTTTTTTCCAGGTGAAGGTGAACCCACATGAGCATGGAAATGGCTGCCAGAGCACTAGGAGACAAGGATCATGTGTTGGACTTAGTCAGTTTTAGGTATGCAGCAAGGTAATTGATTGGTTGAAAGAGGATGGAAATGTTGGTGCAAAAGAGCTGCAAAGGAGGCTGAAGGATCTGTACAAGGTTCAGATCCAGTCCCACTCTTATCTGTGCATCTGGTTCCTTTCAATGAGGACTCCATTACAGTGGACACCCAACCCAACCAGCTAGTTGATGACCTCCCACTTGAACCTGTGGATCCACAATGCACACCAAGAAGAAATAAGGGAGCAGTGAAGAAGAAGTTGACACCAAAGAAGCTGCAGTAAGAAACTCTAGTGATGTTCTATTGCTGCTGTGATGTTCTTTTTTTGGCCCTGACGCATGATCTTTTGGTATTTTGATGTTCTTTTGGGGCTGTCATGAAAAATCTTGTCTGAATTGATGGTTCATGTTAGTGATGTGAACAAACTCTAGTAATTTAGTTTCTATGTGTAAACTGTAAGTGATGTGATCAAACACCATATGCTGTTGGTGATGAAACACATTATGCTACCAGTTATGTGATGGATGAGTGAACTGTTAGTTTCTTTGTCTTAATATTGTTATGAACCATGAGAAGCATTCATTCATGCATTGATTGATCCATACATCCATGAAAACTCACACACACACACAACAGCAGCCTACTTCTTGAAAATAGCATACAAAGCAAGCACCAAGCACAAATACACAAGTTTTTCAATCCTCCTAAGTTGCTGCTGCACCCTCTTGTCCATTGGTGCATGGCCTTCAACTACAAATTGCACAGGAACCTTCCTGCAAGATGGCCAGAGGAGGAGCTGTGGGAAAACCACCAGGTGCTGCCACTGCTCTGCAGTGGAACTGCTTGGATTGGTGTAGCTGTCTCCCCAATCTCATCCTCCCACTGATAGTACTGACATCCTCCAATCTGAAATCCAACATAGAGACTGAGCAAAGAGGGAAAGACAAACAATGTTGACCAAAGAGAGAAGCACAAACCGCGAAATAAGGGCACTTGTGAAAGGCCCAGTTGGGGTTGGCCTTGGTCGTCAAGATGAAGCGATTGGCGAGCACATTGCAGTTCGGGCAAAGCACACGCCGCCTTGACGCACCACCATAGCTGCTGCTACCTTGTGACATGGTTGTCAAAGAGAGAGGGCTCAAGAGAGTGGCAACTCCCTGACCTTTGGCGCCAATATATAGGAGGAGAAGGACAGGCTCTTTGGCGCCAAATCCCTGTCATTTGGCGTCAATAGCGGTGTCTCTGGCGCCAAAGCCAATTGGCCTGGCAATGACATAGGGGAAACGAAAAAGTTCAAACGCCCATATAAGCTCAAGGGCAACTGAGTCATTCTTCAGAGCCGTTACCCATCGTTAGAAGTAAATGCCGATGGAATAGCGTGAGAGAAAAGAAAAGTTGAAGCAAAGATACGTAAGTGACAACCAACTTTCAACTTTTAAAAATACACAAATATAGGTCTTAAAATACACAGCTAAAAGCCTCGAAAGACGTTGCGGTCGCAGCGGCGACTCCCAAACGAGCCTGCCTCGGTAACGCAGCCCGCGCCCCTATTCTTAGCTCGCCACGAGGCCGGCGCGGGAGCCGTGTCCGCTGTCCGCCCGCCTCCTTTCGCCATGCGCACCCTCTCCACCCCTTGAGCACGTCGCCGCCAGCGCTAGTGCGCCGCACGCTTCCACACACGCCCACACATCGTCTCCGCCTCCCGCGTCCATGGCCGGCGAGGCGGCCTCCGCCGCGGCGGCCGGGCGGCTCCTCCTAGCCGCGGCGCTCGTCCTCGCGGCGTGCACCGTCCCCGTGGCGGCTCAGGCCAAGTCGGAGGCTGACGTGCTGAACGAGTTCAGGGCGGCGCTGCGGGGGCCGGATGGCGGCCCGCCGGGGGAGCTGAACCAGTGGGCGACCTCCCGGGGCGCGCCCTGCGACGTCAACGCGACGACCTGGCCTAGAGTGAAGCAGTGCATCAATGGCCGAGTGGTGGTCCTGCAGCTGGAGGGCCTCCAGCTGCAAGGCGCCGCGCCGGACCTGGCCCTGCTCGCGCCGCTCCAGGGCCTGCGCTCGCTCAGCCTCAGCAACAACAACCTCACGGGCGCGTTCCCGGACGTGTCCGCGCTCCCCGCGCTCAGGTTCTTCTTCGATCCTGTACCAGAACAGGCTCGCCGGGGAGATCCCCGACGGCGCGTTCGCGGCCCTGAGGGGGCTTCAGAAGCTTAACCTCGCCGGGAACGCCTTCTCCGGGCCGATACCGAGATCCATTGCCTCATCCGCCCATCTCCTGGCCGTCGACCTCTCCAACAACAACTTCTCCGGGCCTATCCCGGAAGGGCTCCGGAAGTTAGGCTCCAATGTCCAACTCCAAGGTGAGTTAGTTCGTCATGGCTTTCATGTCCTTGACATGGAGTTTCTCTTTGATGCATGGAATGGTTACGTTTTCTCTGTTTCTTGTTTGGCAAATTTTGCCATTTTTTTTATGAAGTACTTTAGAAGAGTTCTCTGCGGATGTGTTGCTGATGGGATCATGGTTATGCAATTAGTACTTTAGTAGTACTAAGATTTATTTATTTAGTTGTATGTAATATTGGAAACTACTTTGGGTTTAAGTTTCCCTTTATATGCATGCCCTGTGGTCCATAGGTACCTGATTTTAATTTAAATTGTGTTTTAGCAAAACCTGGTTGGCTAGGTAGCCGGTAGCCTCAAAAAACCAAGAAAGTCATGGGCTCCAAAAAAGCTTGAGAAAAACAAAGTTGTTTCTAAGGTCATGGTGCATCATCCAAAGATGAATGAATATATTATTGCTTTGCATCTAACTAAGTCAAAGATCGAACATGGCCAAACGTATCGGTTGAATCCAACCTGACTCTGCACAGAAACAACCATAGCTTAAAAATTTATAGAATCAATGTTACATGTTTTAAGAAGGGGAATCCTAACTATAATAATATAAGTCGAACATTGGAACACTTGATTTTATGAGAAGATGATTATGATGCTTTTCTTCTGCGCAATAATGAGTGTTTAGTGTTCAAGTGATGCCACCCGAGCATGGGGGTGGACAAGGGCGGAGCCAGAAACTCCTAAGAGCCTAGACGATTCTTATTATGCAGAAATATTAACCTACAAATATATAGTAGTGTCTCTCTTCGATACAAACAAAAAATCCCTTTGCACTTCGACGACGAGCCCGAGCAGCCACCTTGGGTCACGGCCAGTGTCTTCACCACTAGAGGTGGAGGCATCACAACAACAACCTACTGAACTAGGGTCAGTCTCGGCAGCAGTTCAGGTGGCAAGGAGCATCTAGAGATGAGGAAGGATCGCGGGTGGCAAGAAGTCACAGTGGCGAAAGCAACTTGAGCTGATTATGAGATATTGGAGTGAGAATGGGGGCTCAATCGCACCTTGGTGAAGGCAATAATAGGCGAGTTGTGAGCATAAGAAGCATCATGTTTGTCGCTCTACATGATTCTAGAGTTAGGACAAGGATGTGAAGGATTGTTAGGGTTATGTAGTGAGGCGAGTCATTGCATCATTGGGTCGATGGACCATAAGGCTGTGTTTGGTGCGGCTCTGGGAGGCTCCGGCTCTGCTACTGTAGTAGAGCCGGGAGAAGCCTCCGCACAGCAGCTCCTCTCTTGGGTCTACCGGAGCTGGATCCCTTTTTTCAACCGACATAGTGATCTATGGTGGCGTACAGTGCAGCAGGGTGTGGGGAGCTGGAGCCGGAGCTTGCAGGAGCTGCGCCAAACGGTGCCTAAATCAGGTGTTGTATGAGTAAAAATACCCAGGACAAAGACATTAAGTTTGTGTTTGATAGGGTTTTCCAAACTAATTTGCTCCAGAAACAGAAGAATTCATAGCAAATTGTTCCAGGATCTGGAATCATAGTTAGAAATATTTTTCAGACTATACATCTTAGAGACCAGAAGCCTAAAAACCCTATTTCATAGCAAAGTCAAATCGATTCCTCCCCATAAACGTTTCTTCAAGAAACCGGATTCGTGCTAGGCCTAAGAATATATGTCTTAAACTCACCCCTTAGAATCAACACAGTACAACTCATTCCCTGTCTAGTCTTACCTTTGGTGTGATAATAGAAAATGATCTCCAAATATTTAAATCATTTATGTGGTTATAATTTACTGATAATTTTCTTAGGAAAAAAAACATAGCTATTGTAATTCTACCGGCGGTAGTTCAGTTATCACAAGTTTATATTATACTATGAAAAAATATGTGGAATGTAACATAGCACAATTGAGGAACAAATGGAATAGTTGTGGTACTTAATGCTTGTAATATTCACTGCTAATAACCCCATTTCCTATTATAAGGTATATTGTTAGTGTCAGGAGAAGTCTTTAGAAGCAGACTTTCACTATCAACTACTCCTGCAATATATTCTCTCTGTCCTAGAAAAAAACATGCAATTCTATGGTCCAAGTTATGTCCCAAAAAGAATGCAAATGTAGGCATTGTAGGTGGGTAGTGTGGGTATCCCTATTCGTTTGTCTTATGAGACGTACTTTTTCAGCGAACAAACAATATTTTTCTCTCACAACAAATCAGCCAACAATACTTTTTAGCCTGGCTTATCAACCAAGCAAGCAAGGCCGGATCATCTTTATATGGGTCCCATTATCTAAAAAATTTCCATAAAACCGCTTCTTTCCCCCACTAGTCGGCATTCCTGTGTTTGCTACTTCTTCTGCCCTGAAATATCCAAACGTTCAAAATTCCCTCGGATTCAGTTTTAAAAATGTAACATTTTATATGCATATCTACCATTAATTTCTATTACCAACCCAAACATGGTAACCAGGATGGGTCACATAACATGGCCATTTGGTTTACCACATAATATGTTCTAGAATTTGTAAGCTGGCTTATATTCCCAGGAAAGAGGTAATGCTAATCTACCATTCTTGTATGCTCCCACAAGCATGACAGTAGTGTGACTTTTCCACTTTTGATTAATTCCTCATTGGAATTTTAGACTTGCATTTTTCCCTGACGGAGCAAGTATCATCAATTGCTACAAAATCAAATCATAATAGAAGATACATGTAGTGTGAATCAACTCATGTAACTTTTATTAACTAATGATGTATATAATCTGAATATTGGTCAAAATTTATGAAGTTGGATTTTTTTTAATCCTAGTACATCCTATACAGTATTTTGATGCGGAGGAAGTAGCATGTGAATCTGTTGGTGCTTCCACTGCACACTGAAACGCTACTGAAATTCCATTTCACTAGTTCATCACGCGCGCCCTCGCGCGCGCCGGCAAATCACCTGGTTAAAGTCGTCTCATTCATCAAATTCAAATGAGTGAAATAAGATAACGCACCTTGCTTGAAAACCAATACTCTACATCATACTGCAACACATGCTTCAGCTTTTGTTTATGTTGTGCTTCCCTCGATCCGTCCTGAAAACAATACAATACAATTCCAGAAGCTAAATCATCTTGAGTTTGACTATTGTTTTAATAAAATATTAATACTTATGATACCAAAGATGTACCATTGAATTTATGGTGAGATATATTTTCATGCTATACCTATTTTATGTTACAAAGTTTAACTAGCGATGAAGCTAGAATTACATCCTTTTATGGACCAAGGTGGTAGTATCTGATAGAGCATCTCCAAGAAATTACCCAAAAAGAAACTCTACCGCTTGCAGCAGTCCCGCACCGGACAAAGTAAAACCAAGCCGATAATAAAACATAATATGGATGTATGGAACAAATTTGATTCACAGAACATTCCTAACTCAATCTCTTGTTGCAGGCAAGAAGGATCATCCGCATAAAAATAACTGCATATATGAATTATAGATGGCATATGGGAAGCTAAAGCGAAATCACCGAAATAATGTATTAATTTGTGTTTGGCTATTTTTGGATTAAAATGATCGCGGGTTCATAGCAAATAATTCAATTTGTGTTTTGCTATGAACCCGCGATCATTTTAATTTAAAAATAGCCAAACATAAATTAATACATTAAGATTTTTAAGACAGCATTACAGGAACTTCATCGAGTAATTTATGGCTACAAAAATTCTGTAAGCAATTTCCGGACTACATCTTACATGTCCTCTAGATGGAGGGGCACAAATTTGTAAACCATTGCAAATCCAAAAATTCAGTGGCTATCTAGAAGCTGTGAGGCAACACAAACCTATGACAACCGAGAAGAAGTGGCATGCAACCTTTGAACAAGCAGAATAGCATGGCATCCACGTTACTGGCATTCTTGCACAACAGGAATCCATGTGCCGCTAAACGAAGCTAAGAAAGAAAGCAAACTAAACACTTGGCTGTAATCCCTCATCCACCTCCAGTAACAAATCCGAAGAAATCAATCTTTAAATCTAGGAAAACAAACACTGTAGATGAAGCACAAATAGAGTAGGGGAAGTGCCCATAGCCATCCATACCTGGTGGCTGGGCTTCTGTGGAGCAGGAGAGAGGCAAGGAGGGGGTGACCTGCCGCCGCCGCGGAATCCCGGGTGGAGGGGTGAGGCACCGCTAGATCTGCCGCCGAGCTGAGCCATCGGCGCCACCACCGGAGAGGAAGACGCGATGCGTAGCCGGGGTCGTCGAGCACAGGCACCTAGGGTCTCATGGAGCAGAGGAGCAGACGCAGAGCGGTGGGAGGAGGCCACGTCGGGGGGCACCCGGGCCGGCGGCCAACGGCGGGGCACGCACGCGTCGCGCCGTGGTTGGGGACGGCCGCCGCCGGGGCCGACCTGCGGAGCTCCGGCGCAGCCCGGGGGCGGCGTGGCGCCGCCCGCGCCTCACGCGGTGAAGCGACGACACTGGGCCCCAGCCACACGGCGCCACATCGGGAGAGAGGGAGAGAGAGAGGGAGAGGGAGAGAGGAAGGAAGGGAAGCCGGGGGTGGAGGCAGTTGTAACAAACCGGGTTTTTGGAGAAGCCAAAAATACGAACTTTTGAAAAATTTTCCTGCAATATGTGAAGCATGTAGATGCTAGGTCAAACAAAGAACAATTTATAAATAAATTGTTGCATGCATATAGAATTACTTGTAGGAGTTTACCGGAGTTCTTTTGTTGGTTCAGTGTTTTGTGTTGGAGAGCATAAGTCCGTAGCAAATCCTTTTGATCCCTTCTAGAATATCTTATGAATCCCTTTTTCCTCTCTCTCAATTCATCTTTTTGCTTCTGAACCTCATTTGAATC